AGTTGAGTGTGGAGAAGTGTCAGCCTCGGAAAAATGAAGGTTAGGTGTATAAATTAAATTTTGATATGAAGAGACGACAGCCCCGGAAAAATGAGGGCTAGAAATATTACTAGATGTTAAATGTGGAGAAGCGTCAGCCTCGGAAAAATGAAGGTTAGGAATATAAATTGGATTTTGATATGAAGAGACGGTGGCCCCAGAAAAATGAGGGCTAGAAATATTACTAGAAGTTAAATGTGAAGAAGCGTCAGCCTCGGAAAAATGAGGGTTTGTGATGCTTTTATCGACCAAATTATTAAACTCATTCTTATCACGAGTTGAAAAGGAATTATTACTGACTATTGAAGATCTAGCATTAAAATTATTCATCGATTCAACTAGAAAATTTTTTTCGACAACAAGAGTGCTCTGAAACTCTACTTTGAATGAGGAAAACATCTTATTACCATTCTTCGCGCTTTTTTTTTGTTTTCTGATTTTCGGACGATAGGTATAACCTGGATATTTTTTTTTATGTTCTTTCTTTTCCTCCTCGGCCATACGGACCCACTTTTCTTTTTCTTCCGAGGATAGTTTATTCCACAATTTTGCTGCCTTAATGGAGATCTTATTATTCGACAATTTCGTGTTTTCTTCTTTCATTTTAGCTTGAAAATCTCTTCTATATAGAATAAAGCTGTTTGGTGGTCTAGGAGGTTTCTTTTGTTTTTCTGTAATTAGAGTAAGTATCAATGATAAGTAGTCAATGTTAATGGAATATTTGATGCTTACTTGTTTTATGCGCATGTGAAACTTGCTCACTTGTATGAACACTGCTGTTTTGTTCCATATTATAATGGAGGAGAAAGAAGAGTCGAAGAATTTTCGGATTATTTATCTATACTAATGAAAAACACGTGATATATTTAAAATAAAAAAATTTTGAAAATAATCCATTTCCCTATTTGGATAGATTTTAGTCACAAGTTCACGGTATTATTGTTATAGAAAATCATGAATGAAGAAAATCTTATCGAAAAACCGAATCTGACTGAATATTTTGAACGTGTACAGCAATGTTATTGCCATTTCCAGGTAAAAATATCATTATAGTATTTTTAATAATAAATTAGGAAAAATAAATTGATCCATCCTTCACAATATTCTAAACAAAAAAAGTTTTAATCTCAAATCCGTACCTACAATTGTACCAAACATTATCACCATTCAATTAAAATTCTTTACAAATGGATTCTTGTATTGTGATCCCGGATACTATACATACCGTAGTTTATTTGTGTGACAATTTTTTTTCGTGAGAATTTTTGACTTTCTTACAGTACTGCAAAACACCAAATCTACCTGTTATTATACTGTAACATAATTCTCGTTTAAATAAATTACAACTAGAAAGGAAATAAGACTAAACTTTGCATACATAATTTCTCCTCAAATTTGTTTGAATTAAACATTGCAAAAAAAACCACCCAGATGAACCGATAATCTTGATATTAAATATAATAACAATATTTTATTGCGTCGGATCGGTGGGAATAATAAGAGTACCGAATCGGGCTTTCTCAAGAGTAATATTAATAGAGGCGCCTTAGATGATGCAGAATACATTGAAATCGCCCTTATTTTACAATTAAAGCAATTGCTATGGATCAATCGTTCTATTTTTTAGCATATTGAACCTCAATAGTTTTTATCTATCCTTCATCTCGTATTGAATTCTACTAATCTAACATTTTTATGCGTATGATATCTATAAAACTTATGTAGCCAGTGGAATGGATTGGATTAGACCTAATTAAGTGTGGATTGTATTCGTCATAACCGTGCGAGTGAAATTAATGACTATCATTAATTCATTATATATTAACAAATTAGCTCGATTTTCTATAATCGAAATAATGCACAATGTTTTTGCTTTCTTTGTATACGTGTAAATTTAAAACCATTAGTCATTTCGTGGGATGTAAAGCTTGTAGAATTTTTTCTATTATAGCATTTCTAGATCACGTGACCTTAGTAATATGCACGGGAATAATTTTTATGATATTGTTAATGTAGTGATACTGTGGCGTGCCGTTTACGAAGTGAGCCGGGAAAATCACTGTTACGGTAAGATAATGTAGTTTGATATAAGTTTTATTTGTGTTTATAATATATATTTTTATTAATACATTGTGTAAAAAATTCATATGAACAACTTGCGAAGTAAAAAAAATCGAAATCATGAAAGCGTTTCACTTAATTTTTTTGATCATCACCATCGCAACATACATGTGAAGAATAATTAAATAATGTTGCGAGCTAAACAGCGAGCCTGTCGCCAACCGAAAGATTTCAGATTTAAACTTTTAGGCGTGTTTACGATTTGGTCGACTTATACTTTAATCTTTCTATCGACTATATTGGAACCCTTCTTAACGTCAATTCCCTTAGGTAATCTCGGTTCTCTAGGAAAGTCGTGTAGTACGAGTTTCGAGTATTGCGGGCACAAACACGAATGACATTAGAATTTATTTAAAGTTTTTAGTTTGATATTAATGACACGAAGGTTTATTTTAATAGCTTATTTTTTTTATTGTTAGGACAAACAATACTAAATGCTATTGTCGTGGGCTAATTGGCGAGTCGGTCGCTAACCCACGATGCTTCTCTCGCTGCGTTTGGTTCACAATAAGGTAAGTTTCTCTTTTACTCTTGAGGCATGTCTTCGATTTGGCCGGTCTTACTTTAACCTCTCTATCGACTAATATGGAACCCTTCCAATGCTAATTCCCCTAGGCAAACCTTGGTTCTCTCGCTTAGTCGCGTAGCTCGTGTTACAAGTATTTCGGGCGCACTTGAAATAAGGTAAGAGTTTATTTAAACTGTACTTTTATTGTTTACTAAACACTAATCTCTAAACTCTAGACCTACTACTACTACCTACATGCTATTAAATTGCGCATGTATTTATACATGCGCCTATCGTTTACATGTTTATATCCGTTTTGCTACTCTACACTATTCTAGAATTTCCCGTCGCTAAACTTTCCCACACTAATTTTCCCACCTTAATTTCTCGCCGTTCGCATCAACAAGCTGCGATATCGCGTCACACGTCTGCGCCGTAACACTATAGTTCGAATCCTAACGAATTGCGCATATATTTATGCATGCGCTTCCCTTTTTACATGTTTACATTATTTTAGCTAAAATCCGACTTAAGCGATTTCTTAGACAAACAAAGGTTATATTATAGCCCGGATTGACACAGGTATTAAAATCCTTAGAGTTTCAGACATCCTTATAATCTGAAAAACCTTTAATGATAATAGCATTCATATACTCTATATATATAATAATAATGTATATTTATTAGATCGCTGTATATATTAAAATAATAATTAAATTATTATTGTATTAACGGCAAAGTTTATTTGATGTCCTACGCATTAAGAGAAGAGATAACTAATTGTTATAGAAATTCACGCCTCAAGCTTCAAAAAGTTATACATAGGCTTAAAAGAATTATTAACTTAGGAAACCTTAATGGAGGGCTGCAGATAAAATTACAGTAATCAATTCTAATTTAATTTAAGAAAAGCAAGATAAGTGATATTCTTGTGTTATATGGTTTATTTACCTCAATTATATACGAGTGACGATGACCGGGTTTGGTGACGATAATAATGCTGGTCCAACTGGCAAAGAATTGGAGAAGGAATAAAAGAAAACAAAATTTTCCAGTTGTCTTTTTTAACAAATTCCTCTTATATTTATAAAAACCTATAAAATCTGGAAACAACGCTCGGCAACCGCTAACAGAAGTGGATTTTTGGTTCGAGTTTTCAAGATCAGTAGGTGTGTTTTCGGTTTCTGGGAAAACGGCAATGACTACGAGCGAGCGTGCATGCACGGAAATCAATAATAGGTTCTTCCCAATATAAAGTAATATAACATAACCCACGAATTATGCTCACCATCACCAGCCTCTTTCAACGTTGTATGATTATCCGACGAGAGAGTGGGAATGCCGCTGATCCGGGAATATGAACGTGAAGGAAAAAGGGCTCCTAGCATTAACACAAGGGCCTCTCGCGTTGTGGTAGCGAATTTTATTAACGTCATAAAATCTTTACATCTCGGTCAATCGATCAGCTATTTACCTATTACGAGGGAAACGCTAATACTGTTTATGTTACGCAGAACAAGATACTTGTATTTTATATTTTTCCTATACATTAAACCAAAACTTGATCGCGATTATTGGAGCATAACTTTTTGGATTCATGCGGTACGGTTTTCAATTACGGAAATATTTATGATTATGTCGCCTTATGATGGATAGGACACAATAGATGACATCAATTTGCAGTATAGCAAATTCATTACATAATCGTAAATCATAAAAATCATTTTAAAAGGGAATTTTTGAGATTTTGTGGGCGTATATACTGTACGTAATAATATATTTCTAAATTTGGCATTTGTTTATTTTCTGATCTGGATAAACCATTGTCATTTATTTGCTAAAGTTGGTTCACCAATGGACAATACCATTACCTTTTAAACGGCATACAAGATCATTGGTTCAGATAAGAAATAAAGTTTTTCCCTGAAATAGTAATTAGCCTCTTTCGTGAGGGGAAAATAATCCTATTTAAATTAATCGGATTTATCTGACTGCATGTTTTGAATTGCGTGACAATATGACATGTAAAAATACTCATTACTGTACTGAATAATGACAAATTGGGAAAAATCAATTGAAAGGATCGTTCGTAAACAAAAAATTCTCACGGTTACACATATAAATAGCAATCATACCGGCCTCTCATGGATTGAGGCATTTAATTATGTTATTAAATTAATTTTCGACCAAACATCTCATAGCACAGAAAATTTGCTTTTCACTCAAATATATTCAAAAAAGACGAAAAAACAAGAAAAAATAATACTGTATACACGCATATCATTACTTTTTACAGTAATTTCGTTGCCGCTCCAAGATCACCTAAACAACGAAAACGTAGGTTTATCTATTGCAACCCTGTACATAAAATGGCAAAAAAAAGAGATTGACCGATAATCTTAATAACAAATATAATAATGACCTTTACCACAACGGTGTAGTGAGAATAATAGGCGCACCAAATCTGACCCTTCTCAGGATCAAGAATGTCAAATACGTTATAATTGACGAAGTCTATTTTGATTCGTCTATTAATTAACCAAATTATTTGCGTTGTTTCAATATAACTTGTTGATGTTGACTTAATCAAGAGAAAAATTGTATTTGTCGTAATTACAATTGATTTATTAAATTATAATTGATATTATAATTCTGCTGCTCTTTTGAACGACAAACAATATTCATAGAGAAAATATCACATCCCTTCTCTTGCTTCTTTTTTAAAAAAATTTAATATAAAATATATAGCAATTTATTACAGTTTAATAAAGTTTTTGTATTATAATTTTTAAATTAATGAAAATAAAAAATTTGATATCTTTATCTTAATCAAATACCTCAAAATCACATACGGAAAATTTTGAACTTTGTTATAACATGAATTACAGTATATAAATTAAGAATCTTAAAACTTTGCATCAGGAACATATAGTACGCTCATTTATTAAATTTTATTTGCTTCTCCGTGCTACACATTTATTTACTAAGCGATTAATTAGTAATGGTAATACTGTAGCAATTGTGCTACGTGGGACAATCACAGTTTAATGGTTACGAAATAATTAAAATTTATATATTTTGAAAATTATTTTTTTTTTTAACATAGGTAAACACCATTTCTTTATTTATTTGTATATAACAGGGTATACATTATGGAAAGAAACAACATCTCTCACATGTAATTTACAGTGAGTTAAATGTTAGCTTACCTCAGTAATTATTTAACTTCTACTAGAAAAGACATTTTAAACTAGTGTACTAATTAGGTGATACTAAGCAGCTATGGATACCTACTCAGAGTTTTGTGAAATAATGTTACGATAGTTAGAGATGAGGTTATATATACACTTAGGATAGTTAAGTTTGCTTTGAATGAATGTTTCTGTGACAAGGGTTGGGATGTCGACTATGATACTTTTGGGAATTGGGATTGAAATGTTGTTAATGAAAGATGGGTTGTTTCTTTGTGCCCTACTCTTCCTGACATTATCGTTATTGATATTTGTATTGTTGGTATTTAAGTTGTTATTACTGTTGGTAGTGTTGTTATTATTATTGCTTTTTTTTTTTTGAGGTTTTCATTCCATTTGATGTCTGCGATAGGTGAAGTGTTTGCTGTATTGCACCGGAGTTTCCAGATATAGTTGTAAAAGGATGTGAGAGCTTCGGTGGATGCTTGGGTCCACTTCTGTATATCAGACGTGAAGAAAATGCCATTTGTGATTCCATATGCAAGGCCTACTACCTGATCTGCTCTTGACATTGGGTTGCTGCTATTGTCTAGGTATAAAATATAATTGATGGAATCTATTATTTGTCTAATTTCTTTTTTTACTAAGGGGCAGCTAAAGACGTAGAAGATATTTTAAGTTCAGAGACTGCATCTTGGACAATATGGATCCTTGTAGTGTTCAGGATATAACTGGTAAAGAAATTCTCATGTTGGGAGTATACCTGAGAGCATTTTGATTCTGAATATGATGAGATCGCTATAGGTATTGTTGTGGAGTCCTTTTAAGAATTTGTTGAAGGAGTTAATTATTTGGAGTTCAAAAGCATCGTGAGTTTGATCAAATATTTTGATTATAGACGAACTCTCACAGATGATGTAAGCTTTGATAATACTGAAGATTTTTTTGCATTATCTTGAGCAGCTATCCAGGTCTGCTTTGTTAATGGTGGGGTTTTCTGTGAAGTAGAGGGTTGAATTGTTCCACTGGATCGAATTGGTATATCTCGGTTTGGATTTGGATTTGGTGAACCTGATGATTATATCTTTTTATAATGTAATTTGCTCAACTTTTGAAGTTAAGGTGGAGAAATTGACTTTTATGCGTCTTCTGGAGAAGGTTGGAGGTGTTCGGATAATTTTTTTGTTGCTTTTAATTTCAATGGTAAAATGAGGGTGGCACCATTGAATGATATCATAAATGATTTGCAAGATATTGTTATCTGGAAATCCTGGGTTGAATATTGTAACTTTGGTTTCATTAACTATTAGGTCTTGTTTTAAGAGTTGGATATGATATAAGTTACATTGGCCTAACACCTGAAGGGGAGAAGAAAATGTTGTAAAGAGTGGGATGTCAATTGATTGGAGGATATTTTCATTTTCTGCTGGAGAGTTTGCTAATTCCTCAATAATATTGCAAAGACGATATTTAATGTTGGGTGAAATTTTATTGACTGTCCAAAGTAAAGAAGCATTGGAACTTGAGAAGGTTATTGAGCAGTAGTTGTTGAAAAAGAGGCTCAGAGAGCATTTAGGATATCTAATAAGATTGTTGTTAGAATCAATTGAATAGTGCCTTTTCTTGAGAGGTATATTCACTTGGATGTGGCAGTGTCTCTTGTGAGTTTTGATAATAGCATTTGCAGTGTGTAAGAATCAGAATATCGGATTTGGATTTGATATTGAGCTATGAGATCTAACTAGATTGCTATCGTTGTTGAAATTTTTGAATCAGGTTGGTTCTGAACTACAATGTACAATGCCTGTGTATGAAATAAGTTGTGACCAGAATAGTTTGATTGAACTATTAAATCAAAGAAGTTGGTTGAAAAATTTTAAGCCAAGGATATTGAATGTGTTGACTGCTATTTCTCTTAGCTGTGATAATAGATTTTTAAAGATTAAACCTATTGAATTGCAGGTATTTTCTCGTTGAAGAGGACAATTTGAAGGACAGATTTGTATTTTGAAGCTCTTTGCCACTCCAGCTGCATAGAGTATCCAATTATCTTGATCAAATTTTTCTGGGTTACATATTGGACAAAACCAGATGGCTTCTTTCTTTTGGATATACTGTATGGTTTGGATTATATATTTCCTTGTTATAGGAGTTGCTAGCTTGGTTATAAGATTGTTTATAAGGCTTGTTCTTTATTGTTCTTCAAGTAATAGTATGCTGAGTCCTCCTTGGCTCATTATGATTGAGTTAGAGCATTTGGAGGAGATTTTATATTCGGTCTTGATAACTTGGTTGATTTTCCTTTGATAGTATTGAGGAGGCTCTTGTTCAAGTAGGATATTAATAGGAAATACTTATATTTCCCCATGATTACCCACTCACAAATATGCTATTTGATTTCTCCTTTCTATTAATGTTTGTTAAATTCATCTAAGATTTGTGAAGTCACTAGGCTGAAGGCTTTTCTGTTGGCCTTGAGGAGGCTGCATAGTGAAATAAGGGCTCCCAGATATTTGATACTCTCATATGGTTTGAGGACTTGGATTGAAAGGTTTTCAAAGTTGATTGTTCTTGGACTTCTGCATTTGACTTTGATGTTATTGATGATTTTGGTTTTGTCTTTATTGTATATAATGTCATTGATTTGGAAGAATTGATTGGCTGTTTCAAAGAGAGCTTCCATTTTTGCTTTGGAGTCAGCAATGAGTGCTAAGTTATTCATGTAGGCGAGAGTATTTGGAGCTAAGTAGTCTTGTGTTTTTTTGTATTTAGAGAGTCTGAAAATAAGAGATCATAAAAGATGACCCAGGTAATTGGAGAGATAGTTTCTTCTTATTCTATGCCATTATTGATCATAAAGAAATTGATAGGACCAAAGGATGGGTTAATGGATACTTCTCTATTCGTAAGCAAGTTGGTAAAGAGACTTATTAGTTGAGGAGGACATTTGACTCTTTCCAGGGATTTTTTGATAGCTGGTATAGGAACAGAATCAAATGCCTTGGTGATATCAAGTGAAGCAAACCAAAACTCTTTGTTGCCAACATTTGCAGCTTGGATTGCTGAGTTGACAATGGTTAGAGGTTTGAGGGTGCTTTGTCCTGGGAGTCCTGCAAAGTTAAATTCTAATAGGATCGAGTTATTTTTCAGGGTGTTGGAGAGTCTTTTGTTAATTATTCCAGTAAAGATTTTCCTTGTGGAGTCTACTAATGATATCGGTCTGATATCGTTAAGCTTGTGGCTTCAAAAGAGTTTTTTGAAAATCAAGGTGATGAACATTTGCTTCCAGAGTCATGGAATTAATAAAGAGATTAAAATTCAATTGAAGATTGTAATAAGGTGGGTTGTGATTTTCCCTTTTAACAGCTTGATCATATCATAGCTGATTTTAGATTTTTCAGAAGATTTTTTTTTGGGAAGAGAATAAATGGCTTCATCAATAGTGTTATTATCAAATGGAGAGAGCACATAGTTATAGATGGTTGATCAATTGGCTTGAGAGAGTATTCATCTTGCCAGTTTGGAAAGTTTTCAAGATTGAAGTTTCTTTCGTGCAGGATGTTTTTGAAGTATCTGTTAAAAATCTCTTGAATTGTATTAAGATCTTCTTTCACTTGGTTGTTTTCATCAAGAACTTTAGAAAGGTCAATTCTTGATTTCAAGGAGCCTAGGGCTTTCTTGATATAGCTCTTAGGCTTATTGTAAAAGTTTTCAACTGTTCTTTCCTAATTTAGCTGAAATTCTTTGAGAGATTTTTGTTGGGCTTGGGCAATTGATTCATGAATTAGGAGTCTTTTAAGCTTTCTTAATTCTTGAAGTGAAATATTCAGATTTCTATTGGCAGTTTTATATATGGTTTGCAGTTCTTGGCCTTGTAATTGTATTGTGATATGGTTTTTTTTAAGTTTTGAGATTGTATTATTGATTTTTCTTGTATGACTTCTGAGTTTTTCTCTGCATTGATACGAGTGTCTTTTGGGACCATGTTAATTTTGGTCTTTTTGATGAATTTGTTCATGGAATCTCTGATAAGGTTGTGAAACTCATTTCAGTTTGGAGAGTTTAAGAGACTGGTCCAGGATTCTATGTTTTGAATAAAGTTGGTGATATTGGAGCTGGAAGTTTTCTCAATGTCAAACTTGTAAACGGGCTTGGTTTTTCTGAATTCGAAGTAATCTAACTTAACCAATACTATATGATGGTCTGTTGGGATGAAGTCGCACTTCTGGACTTTATATCAGACTACTTTAGAGGCTAGGTTTCTTGACAATCATACTTGATCAATTCGGGAGGCACTGGTAGAAGTGATAAAGATGAAGGTTTTCTCATCTAGTTGATGGCCTATATCAATGTAATTATATAGATGTCTATAAAGTATCCACTTGACAAAGGAGGTTGAAGTATTGATTGATGGGTTGTCCTTAGGGTATGTGTTGAAGTTCCCTAGGATTGCATGGTGAGAATTGCTATTGGCAGCTGTTTTAATTGTTTGAATTACTTGCTTGACTGTAGCTTTTCTTTCTGTCATGTCATGGGATAAATAAATTGCTGAGATGAGAATATTGACTTTTCCTTTAAATTTGAGCAAAATTGATAAACAATATTCTAAGTGGCTAACAATTTTATGGACGTGAGAAGTAAGACTTCTTCCTATAATAAGGGCTATGTCATTTTTGCAAATGAGCCAGAATTTTCATAAATTATGGACCTCCCGTTAATATTCCTAAGGTGGTTATCTTCTTGTTTAAGTTTGATCTCAGTACAAAAAAGAATAATATAGTCTGAGGTGTGATTTGCTAAGGCTTTGAGCTTGGCAGGGTTGTTTAAGCCTTTGGTATTGATAGTAGTGAAAGTGATTAAATATTGAGTAGTATTTGGTGTGGGTTCATTAATTATATTGTTTGGAAGTGTAGTTGTGATTTGAGTGTATTGAGATAATTGAGGGTTGGAGTTGGAGGGTGGGATGGAATTAGACATTGTGGTTAAATAGGTATAATTGTTAGAGTTAGAAATAGTGTTGATAAATAAAATTTAGATTATTTGCTGTAGTTTGATTGTTAAGCATAATGATTAACCAAGGAAGGGCATGGGATTAAACTTTGGTTCAGGAAGCATCTCTTTTATGATAAGGGTTTTGAGAAGTTTAAGAAAGGAGAAGGTTTGATGTAATTGAAAGATAATTGTGGGAGGGCATTATTATCCACTACAGGAAATTCGAAAGGCATTAAATTCTTTTCTTTTAGGATTCTATTTATTTCTATTGAGTTTTCTGGCAAAGGGATGCATGGGCTGGTGAACCAACTTTCTGGAATTCTCTGGAATTTATAGTGCTTGTGAAGGGTCTTGATTTTTTTTTTGAAAAGAATATTACTATAAGAAAGATGCTTGATATCTAGACTTGGGTCTATATCACTTATTCTCTGTGATAACTTTGGCTTTCTAGTTTGAGAAATCTCTTCGTTTACTCAGTGGACTCCAAGTGAAAGTGAGAATCGATACTTGGTTCTCAGGTTCTTGATTAGAAATTGGGTGTCATAGAGATTTGTGGTGGGTATTTGAATTTCTAGTTTGAAGGTATATCTGTTGATTGTCGATAGGAATGTGGGGAGGAGTTTTTTAAGCTTAAAGAAGTTGGGAGGAAGACGTTTAAAGTAATATCTGGACCGTAATTCCTTAACCACTTCTCTAATGCTTTGTTTGGATGTATCTAGAGGGAAGAACTCAGTAAATTTTGGTTCAAGGAGATTAGGAGATGATGGGAGAGGGATCTTGGGTGAAAGGAGATTGAAGTATAATGAAGGAATCTTGGTGGGGACAAAATAGAATTTTTTAAATTCCCTGATCATTTCATCCAGATTCTTGAGATCCTTTCTTCTTTTGATAGGAAACAGATGTGAAATTTCTTTAGAAAGGTTTTGTGAATTGTCGGGGAGATTGGGAAGGGTGGCAAAGTATGAATCTGGCAGGAGATCAAATTTGTAAATGGAATGAAGAGAGCCTGCCACACTTGCTGTCATGCTTCTGTTAAGAATAGAAATTCTGTGGAGAATTTTGATTTTTACTTGTGAAGGGACTAGTTCTGAAGATGGAAATAATTTTGGAAGATTGTTACGAAACATTTTTTTATACTTCCAAAGGATTTTATGGTAATCTAATTTGGTGCCTTCTTTGGATGGCACAAGTAGTTATATCCATATTCTATGATTTGTGCAAGTAGATAGGGGTTGAGGTCAAATATGTTGATGTATCTTAGATAGGCGATGAATAGGCTGGTATTTAATAGAAACTTGATCTTCGTTCTAACTTTTCTATTAAGTTCTCCAACTTTGTATTTCCTTTTGTAAATTCTTTGAAACCGACCTTCTAACTTCTCATATTCTTTTTGATGGTCTTCTTTTAGTTCTGTTTTCTTGTTGAACCTGAGAAAACCTCTGTTTCTTGTTTCTATTTTAATGAAGATTGCTAGTTTTGGTTTCTGTCTGACTTCATCTCTTGAGCACTGGTTGATGTCTAACAGGAGATTAATAAGTTTATCAGAATTGTTTCTTATGGTGGTAAGCTTGAATGCCTACTTGATAATATGGTGGTGTTCACTAACAAGCTCTTCTGGTAAATTGTAATTATCGTCCTTTTCATTTGAGTTAATAGTTACATTATAGTCTTCTATCCCTGAAGATTTCAAAAGTATATTATCCTTATATAGCCAAAGCCTTTTAAAGGCAGCTTTTATTTTTTCTTGGAGGCTGTTGCTAAATGCTGGATTTCTTTCTCTAGAAGATGTTAGGCTAATATATTCAGGTCATCGTAGAGGTTTTTGTGCTTTCGAAGGGATAGATGAGAGAAAGCGAGACATTGGAATAATAGGGTTGTTATGCTATTGGAAGTTATTGATATTGGGTGAAGTGGTGGGGCTAATTGATACTTGGATACTGAATATGTTTTTACTTTCTTGATATAGGTAGAAACTTGTGAAGTTTTCCATTTTTATGTCTTCTGGGATAGGAAAGTTTAAGTCAATAGAAATTGAGAGATTGCTTTTATAGAAGTTTTGTAAAGGGGATATCTTATAATTGAATGGCTGATCTTGTTGGGTTGGATGATCTGACTGTAAGTTTTTTGATTGATTAGGATCTGATTGGCTAAGAATTACTCTTAATAGTGGATTCAGATTGGTAATTGAAGGAATAGTCGATTTGCCTTGGAAGTCAGTAAGAAAGTCTGCAGGTAGAAGTGGTTCTGTATTGGCTGTCAAGCAGGGAGATGTTTGGCTTATAGTAATGAGTTAATATGATTTTGTGAAAAAGAAGGTTTTTTGTTTTTTGCTGCCAGCCTTAATAACCTATATTATGTTTCAGAAGATATGTTTAGAGTAATTCTATCCTTTTGTTATTACTTTTTGAACAACTTCGTTTCTGAACTGTTTATTTTTGACAAAAAACTTTTGAAACGAATTGTGGAAGTCTTGAAATTTATCCAGAAGATGTAAAGGTTTTTCCTTTAGAACTGAAACCTGTGCAAGGAGGTTTTCATTATTATCTGTAGAGAATTCTATCTGGAATATCGATAGGTTTATAGAGTCTGGTCTGGAGATGCTGGTTATGAGTATAAGCCACCTGTTGGGGTAATTTTGAAGCATGGAAATTGTATGTGTTCTGGAAGGTTCTGTGAGGATGACTTTTTTCTTTTTGTTTTAATAAATAATAGACACGTAATGTCTCATTTCTGTTTATAAGAATTATGTCAAGTAAATAATTGATATTATGCTAAAGCTTTGAAGATATTGTTTGCTGGGCAACATGTTCAGAGGACATGTTTTGGCTTAATGTTGATATTGTGTTTAAAAGACATATAATTTGTTTATATGTTTATTGTTTTGTGTAGACACGTGTTGTTGTTTCTATTTTTGGGACTGATTAATTCTTACTATTTTAAAACTTGTTGTTGCGTATAGTTTTTAGAGGTAGCTGTTACATCTGTTACATGCTGAATATTTTTAATATTGTTGAGGTTGAGCTGGGAGACGTGTTTGTGTAACTTGAGTTGGGTGACAAATAACATGTGAATTGGTATTATTTCCTTGTTGACGTGTTGTGGAGTGAGTCTTTAAATTTTGTATGTGTTTGTGTTGCCGTAGATCTTTTGATGGAGTTGAGCTGGATCTAGTTTTTCAGTTTTCAAAAGTTTTTTTTGAAAAATTTTGTCATGTAACTTGAGATAACTGATAATAGAGTATGTGTTGTTGTTTATGTTTTTCTGGGATCCTTTGACTTGGATTCCTTATAAGAAAGTTTGATGTCCTCTTGTTTTTTATTGGTGTCTAGGTTGCCTGATTTATTGGGTGAAATCTGACCAACAAGATCCTTTTGGTGACTAGAGAGGTGCAGAACCTTGTAAATGACTGGCTAGAAGCTAGGAGGATTGATGCTGACTTTCTCTTTAAGTTTACTGTGAATTGTATGCTTTGAACTTTTTTCTTCTTTTTTAAGTAAAATTTAGACTTGTCTGTCTACAAAAGAGACAAACAAGCAAGAAGCTTGTTAGTAGCAATATTTGTTAATAAGAAGATTATCTTTAAGTGATGTTGTAGTGATTTATTTGGTATTCTTTGGGGCTAAAGATGTGTTTGTCTTTGGGTTTTCTTAAAATTACCAAATAAAGCAATTTTTAAGGATCAGTGGTTTTTCGGGAAAGAGTTTTTTTTTTTTTATATATTTTGAATATTATTTATTTAATTAAAACCATTATTTAAATACTAATTATTATATTAAAAAAAATATCATTTAGAAATTAACAAAATATTAATATATTATATGTTTATCAATTTTTTATTGATAAAAATTATAAACTTGCATTGCTTTTATTGAATAAATCAATAAATTTTATTTTAATAAATAATATATTATAACAGAATTTAAGAATATATTATATATATTAATAATAATATTAATGATTTTAATAATAATAATTTTAATAATAATTTTTACTATAAACCTAATATTAAATTGTAAAGGTTAAAATTGATAGAATTATGTGACATGGCAATTAAAAATCCTGAAAATTTTTAAAATTTTAAAAATAATAGAAATAATAAAAATAAAAAGAATAATTTTTGTATTAAAATATATATAGTATATAAATATATTTTTTTTAGGTAAAGAGCGCATATAGCACATGACTTTTATTAAATAACTTATATCCAATTATATGACTACAAGATCCATTTAAGTTAACTTACACTTCCACTTATAGCCTTAACCAGTTATGTCGATTTATCCATCACGGGATAGATTTGCATACTGGATGGGATCTTTAGGTGATAGAAATTCTACCACTAGTTTTAAACTATCTAGCCTAATCTAGATCCTGGCAGTAGTTATTTAAAGCATATATTTCAGAGTTAATTAGAACACTCAGATAATCTGTTTAATACTTTTTGTCTGGTTCCTTGGAAAAGATACTGTATTTCTTGTTATCACCTATGGTTTCCAACTTTTCTTGTAGAAATCATTTTTTTTTAAGCAAGCATCAGATTGGGATAGCCCCAGGCTAAAGTGTTCTTTTGTACTATGAAGTCTACTGTACTAGGGGGTTTGTAGACTTTTATCAGAGTTAGACCAGAAACCTTTCCTTGTGCAATCTTCTCTGCTTTGACCTGTTTTCAGTCTGCAATCATCAGGAAGACTAGAGATCCCATCTTCATGCAGCCTAATTAAATTTGGTTAGGATTCAGATATTTGGAGTATGACATTTGTAGAAAAATCGGTAAATTCACAAATGAAGAATAAATTTTATATGTTTTACTCCCTATAGGTATTGAACTAGAGACATGTATTTGAAGACCAGAGAGTATTATTCACTGTGCTATTGATCCACTGGTCTAGTATATAAATATTTTAAATTAATAAATTAAAAATTAAATTTAAAAACTTTTTTTTAAAACCTTTTAACTTAAAAAAATTTTTTTTATATTAAAAATTATAAATTGATAAATAATTTAATATTTAAAAGTATATCTTTTTTTACAAAATTATGAAAAATAACTCTTGGTCAGAATTGTAAATTACAAGAGTTTTTAATTGAAAAAATAATCTTTATATAAATATAAAATGCTTTATATTAGATAAAATATTTTAAATTATACTTGCTTTATCAAATAAAATTTAATAAATTTCTTTTAAAAAATTTTTTACTTCTTTTTACATATTTTTTTTATATAAATACTGTATTATTTCAATATTATATACAATAATATAATAACTATTTTAAATAATATAACATTTTATTTTTTAAAGTTTTTATTTTCTGTCTAATCTTTATAATTTTTATTTAATCTTATATACAGGTATATTAAATTTTTTTTTAATTTTTATATAAAAATCTTTATATATAAAAAATAAAATTAATTTATTTTTATTTAAAAATTTATAATATATAAAATATTAATTATATTTCATATTATTTATATTAAAATAATATAACAATCTACTGAATTGAAAAATATATAATTGATATTTTGTATAGATTTCAATATTATTTTAATAATTATTAAAATAATATAATAATAACTGAAATAGATTTTAGTTATTTGATTTATTAATATTTAAATATAACTACAAAAATTTATATGATTAAACTTATTCGATCACTCTTTCCCGTTCACGCGTGGCGCAGCAACCAACCCGAACAAGAAAGATGTCAAGCAACCCAGGGAACAGTAAAGTCCCGAGCAGACAGACAGACAGAACACTTAGATACGAAAGAAGAACAGCCAAGGAAGTAACTTCGCTTAGAACTCAACCGTACGCAAAGAAACCTAGCACTTTAATAAAACAACCACAACCCCTCACAACCCAAAGCGACAACAAACAGCTTCGAACCCCAACAGTTTCAAACCAGGAAGCGTTACCTATCCACCAGACAAGAAAACCAATCCAGACAGAAACACAACAGAATCCACCATCCAAGCAAAGTTGGGACGAACAGGTAGCAAGTGAACAGGATAGCCAGACAGACGCGGAAAACAACAACAGCCATACCAACCCTCAAGACCAGGAAAAACCCTTGAAAACAAAGAACAAAATCAGTAGAATCGATGACACAGACACAGAGATGAATAGCGAAAGTAAAACTGAACAAGACCAACCATGGTTCACTATGCTTAAAGGAAAAGGGAAACAAGTAAACACCAGAGAAACAAACAAACCAAGACCCTTCTCCCTCTTCGACAGAACAGTAAGATATGGTAAAGAAAGGTACAAGATAGGAATCGCAGCAGATGAACTATCAGGGAAAACAACATACCAAAAGATCGAACAAGTTATCCTAGCACTCAACTCACCCGAAGGATTGCTCTCAGTCCGCAGTGAAGGGAAAAACGAAGAAATGCAGATCGTAGCCATTTTTGGTGATCAACA